GGTGGTAATCCTAAAGCTCTTGCGATGTCAGCCGCTGAACCACCTTGTTCTGAACGCATAATAATGTCAAGTTTTTGTTCTAAGTTAATAGTTTTGCGAGCCCTTTTAACAGACTTCATGTAACTGAAATCATTTTTCCGTTTCTGGTCCACAATTAGTATCTGCTTATCCATACTTACTCAGCCACGACAATCAAAACAAACATTCGGAGTTCAAACGCTATTACATATGCGCACAAGCGTCTGCGCATTCACTCTTACCGCGGTTAGCGTCTAATAAATACAAAACTTTTGAAGGGAGGATAAAGCTATTTAAATTACAGTTGCAAAGGTACTCGTAACAGAAAAATTTAACTAAAATTTTGAATGCTCAACTGTGCCCAAGAGTATTTTTGTTTAAAATTTTCATTTCTTGGAGCGTCTGTTATAAATCATCACTCGATACAAATTTTGTTTCAATATTGTAGCAGATTTAATTAATATTTCCTATTTCGTATGTCCTGCGCAAAAAGGCTGTGATCGTTTGTTTTGCCAGCGATGATCGCAAGCGCTTCCGTCTTCTCCACATGGGGGGGGGGGGAATAAGTTGCGCAGTTGTCGGTAGTTTCCAGCTACATTCTGCGCTTGTTTACGAAGGATCAGGCGCTGTTTTCCGCAAGGAGCTCCTTGGTTTTCAGCCCGTGCAAGTCAATGCATGACACAGCCCTTAAAAAAACTAACTAGCGCAATAGTTAAAGAGTAAATCTTTGAGAAACAAATTAAAATAACTGCTTTAAACCGTACATCTCGCTTGAGGTTTTGGATTATATAGGAAGAAATGTTGAAAACTCTGGGAATTGAAATTCGCGGCATTCGTTAAGATTTTTTTCTTTTTTGGGGAGGGGAAGTGTGTGGCTTTGAGGGATATGAAAGTCTAGTACAACATATCAAAACAAAGTGCATAATGCAAAATTTAAAAAAATAATAATGAAGTTTGAGTAACTGAAGTTTATCCCAAATCAAATCAGGTCGGAAATATAGGTGTACTTCAGGGTATAAAGAAAGGTTTTCAATATAAGGGGGAAATCAGCTGGTTTAGAAATATTGTACGTATGCGTGCAATGTTGGAATTAAATCTTAGTAACATTGGGGGGGGGGAGATTGTTTCAGAGTTAAAGAAAATTTTTTTGGGGTTTAAATATTACTTTTCTTTGTATGCTTTAAAACAATTTGGATAAAGCCAATTTTTTCTAGATAAAAACTTTCTTTTTAAGAAAAATTGTAATTCTCTTTCAATCTCACTCTTTTTTTTTTTAACAGAAAAGTGGGGATATGATAAACCCTTGCGAAAAATTTTTTTAGAGCTGCAGTTTTTATAAGCAAGTACATTTTCCTCAGTTTTATATGAAATAATATTTAATAGCTGGATGGAAATATTATAGAATCTGGATAAATCCAGTTTTTTCCTAGTTGATTTTTATAAAGGAAATTTTTCATCTGAAATAAATACAAAAAAACTTAATTATCTATCTCTCTTTTTTTAACTGGAAATTGGGAATATGATAATCCCCTGTGAGAATTTTTTAAAATAATTTAATAATTTTTTAGTTTTTACAAGCGAGCACATTTTTTTGCAGTTTTATGTTAAATAAAATTTAATGCACAAATAAAAATATAACTTCCTGTGTTATTTAGTGAAATCAATTATTTTGCATTACATGTAATCATCAACTGTGGTACCTGCCATAAAAATCTGTATCTAAAACAGTTAATATAAGTAAATCACCCTATTTGAGCATGTAAGTAATTTTAAACTTTACCATCTTCTTTTGCACACTCAATTAATATGATTTTTTTAAACTGCCAAAACCAATGTTCCTAGTGGTATGTTGTTGCTTCTTCTTTACTTGCTCACTTTTTTTCTCTTTTGGGGGGGGGGATTTCTCAGGCATCAGTTGACTGCAGGATATAAACATATGAAGCATTTCACGATAATCCAAAGCAAATAACATTGAACTATATTTCTGTGCAATGCAGTGACAAAACGAAAGTAACATTAACTGATCATTTTTGTTCTTTCAAAACAAATTGTGGCCCATTTTCAGATTTTGCTGACATATGCTGTCCCAGAAGAAAATTCAAGATAAATTAATATTTAAAGTTTAGTTTGAGCAATGCATTGCATAAAATGACTATCAATATATTTCTACAATTTAAAATATAAAAAAATCAATTGAAAATTTTTAGACACAATTTTATCAAATCAATAAAAATAATTTGTCTTCCGCATCATGTCAAGTCCATTACCTTGAGATTGTTTTACCCCCAATTAATTTGTAAATTTGCCTAAAGGGGGCAGTACATATTCAAAGTAGTCAAACTTAGCTTGAATAGTTTGCCTATGTCGCTGATTATGTACTGCCCCTTTTAGACAGATTTACAAACTAATTTTGGATAAAATGATCTCAAAGTAATGGGACTTGACATGAAGTGGAAGACAAATGACTTTTCTATTGATTTGTTAAATGAAAAAACTTGTATAATTAATTTTTATAATAAATATAACACACTAATAGTTCATATTTAAAATAATTAAACTTCTTTATTTAAAAAAATAAATTAAGTTACAAAACAAAGAGTTTGAATAACATGGAAGAGACAGGCATTTTTGCCTACGATCACACATTTTGAGATTTCTATCTAAAACATTTCAATTGTTTTTATATGTTTTGACTTGTAGAATTATATTTATAGTCATCTATATGCAATGCATTGCTCAAATTAAACTGTAAGCATAATTTATCTTGAATTTTCTTTCTTTTCTTCTGGGGCAGCATATGTTGGCAAAATTTGAAAATGGGCCTTGTACTGTACTTAATTCATTTTGCTTTTAAATTTAGGAGAGTTCTGTCCTCTTCAAAACAGTTTTTTTCCTTATATTTAGCAAAATATGACTAACTGATAATTTACAACTGTATATGTTATATATATTATATATATATATATATATATATATATATTTACTAAAGAAATATTGATTATATTATCTCCTAAGATTAATTTTAGTAGAATTATCTAAAAAAAGTGAATTCATAGTTAGTAAGTTTAATTCCGAAAATTGTTTTAAAGTAACTTGAATGTAAATTGTTAAAAATGTTTAACGGGGACTTGAATTAAATCATGAATAACAAAATTTCAATTGTAAAAAGAAATTAAATAAAAATTAAAAGCAAGTAATCATTGCCATTGATCGGAAATTGGTTGACTTTTCAAGGGGAACAAACCAACTCCTGTTCTGAGTAAGACGCGAAGAGAACACTTTGCCCACTTTCCACTAGAAAGAATGCAAGTTAATTAATGCTTTGCCTTTTATATCTTCATGTACATTCCCTTTTCTTAATATATATATTTTAAATTTAAATTATTATTTTTTTATTTGTTTTTGCAAAGATTGCATTATATTTCTTATATTTCGTCATTTTCTAATGTTTATTTCAACTTTGAGTTCTATTTCATAATGCCTATTTCCAGTGTTTAATTTTTACAAGTAGTTTTAAAATGCATAAACACGAGGGTTTCGGGGGACAATTACTCAAGTAATTTATCAATTTTATTGCATAAATTGCTTTTCACTCAAAAATTGAATTAGCTTTTAATTTAATTACTTGCTTTTAATTTTTTATTTAAATTTAATTTCTCATTACAATTGAAATTTTGTTATTCATGATTTAATTCAAGTCCCCGTTAAACATTTTTAACAGTTTACATTTAAGTTACTTTAAAACAATTTTCGGAATTAAACTTACTAACTATGAATTCACTCTTTTTAGATAATTCTACTAAAATTAATCTTAGGAGATAACATAATCAATAGTTCTTTAATAAATAAATTATTATTAACTTACTTTGCAGCTATTGCGCAAGTAGTAGAATAACTTGATTTCGCACTAAGTGAATTTAAGATTATATATATATATACGTTTAAAATTTCGGCAATTAAAAAAAAAATTAACTTAAATAAGAATGCTTAGTTTTAAACCAAGTTTGTGATATTTAGGATTATCATGTAAATAGGGGGGGAGGAATATTTTATTCATTTTTTTTTCTGATTAAAAGTACTGTAATCTTGATTAATTTCAGAATTAAATAAGGTTGTTTTTAGTGAAACTTTAAATAGTCTATGTAAATTTCAGTTACCTTATGTTTATGATAAACTTTATTCATTGAAATTAGAATTATTGATTGTATAAAGATACCATTAAAATGAGAGTTTTTTAAATAAAACTGATATTAAGACGCTGAGAACAACAGCTAAAGTGTTTTTTATTCCATTCTTTATTTTCTGAAAAAAATAAATGTGATTGTAATTCCTGTGTAAAATAGACGTAAGAAAATATAATATAGGAAATTGAAAATTCTTTCATTAATTTGATGAAAATAGCCTACCTGAACAACTAAGAAGCTAACACCGTGGAACATAGGTAATTTCATTTCAGACTCCCTGACGTTTTAAAAAATTATATGTGTTTTATAAAATTTTATTATTATATGTATTTTCCAAAATTTATTATTATATGTGTTCTGCAAAATCCAAGGTATCTTAAAGAATTTTTTGATGCAGGCATCAAAGGAAAATAGCCTTTTAGATGTTTTGCTGTAATTAAACTGCTAACCAATCATAATCTACTCACAAATTAAAAATGGGGGGGGGGAAGTGAATAATTTATAACATTTTAGTCACATAATTTTTTCAGAGAAGTTGATTAATTGCTCGTTCTGCATCTTAATACAGTATAAAATAAATGGAAATTGGATCATAATCACTTTACTACCAGATGAAATAGTTAAGAGAAAAAATTATTTAAAAAAAAAGTAGAAAAGGACTTTTTATCTAGAATCTATTTCATGCATGTATCTTATATAGTAAACTTATCATGCCATGTATCTTAAATAATCTTCTAGTTAAGAAATTTCAAATGCTATGCTAATTTGCTTTTTATTTATATTTCATGCCTGTCTCAGAACTATGGGTACTCCAACAGAAGATATGTGGCCAGGTGTGACTCAACTGCCTGACTTTAAAACATCATTTCCAAACTGGAAAAGTAAATCATTATCTGTGTTGACAACACGATTAGGAAGTGCAGGCCAAGCCCTTTTGGAAGTATGAACAACACTGAATTTTGTGAAAATGCCATTTTCATTTTTCTTATTTTCTTCAGAGTTTGTAATTTTATTTATATTCATTATAATTAAGAATTCATTTTGACAAATTTATCAGCCGTAAGACAAAGCAATTGAATCTGAAAAAAAAAAAAAAAAAAAAAAAAAAAAAAAATGTACATTTATTTAAAAGTTTGACCACTTTAGAGAAAACATAATTATAAATTTTATGCATATTTATAATGTGTTTCTGCAACATGTTTTGAAATGAATTAAATAAGCTAGAGGTTTACACTGAACGATGGATATTGTGCAAAATTTTCAGTTGAGAACAGTTTCCAAATTTATAATTATCAAAAGATTTCATGTGCATAAACTCGTTAATGTGTACAATCTTATGGTGTTTCAGTCATAAGTCTGTTTACACTAGGGGTGAGGGCATCCCTTCCTTACTTCAGGTATATAGCCCTTGTGTTTGCCTCTATCAGTTAAGCAAACAGTACTGTAAAACAAGCATGTTATCACGGTATTAATCATTTTGCAAATATGTGCAATATGTATTAAATCCACTTCATCTTGGATGTTCATTATATCAGTTAATATGTTTATATGCATTTTTAATATTCTCCACTGATCTGATCAGTTTTACTAAATAAATAGTCTGGTATAAATATATGTATAATGTACATTTGTTATTTTTATTATTGTGTAATTAGTTAATTTTCTATATTTTATCAGTACTTTTTATTATATATGTTAGTATGCCTAATTGCTTGTATACTTTATTTTGTTTTAATGCCTTTTATTTAATTTTTAGGAGATGTTAGTCTACAATCCAGGTGAACGAATATCTGCCAAAGAAGCTTTGCAGCATGAGTACTTTGATGACTTTGATAAATCTTCCCTTCCGTTTTACAGCCCTGAAACTGTTTTTTGAAAATCATATAATTTAATGGTGCTCATTTGCTGAAATATCTATTCTTGTTTCAGGTACCATGATGTGCTGTATCTGCATTATACATATCTGTATTTAAGTCATTGTATAAACAAGAAAATAAGTATTATAAATGCACATTTGTATACTACACCCAACAGACTTTTAATAAATATTTTTGTAGAATGATCCAGAACGGAACATTATTTTCACTGGATTAATGAAATGTATATTTTTGATTCCTGTTGAGAGTATAATTTTAGACATTTTCTGAACTGAATCATCTCAACATTCTGCTGCTTTTCATTTATTAATTAAAAAAATTTTTTTAAGTAACCTTGAATACAACATAAGAATTTATTTTCATGGAAAAATGGGAAAAGATTGAGATATTCTTATCATATATGACTGAAATTATTTAAATTTGAACGAATTATATTATCTATTGAAAAAAGCTTTAAATTAGTTTGCCCAATCAGTTGGCTTAAATGCTTTTTATATTATTTGGTTTAATTCATTATTAAAATAGTTAAGTGTGCAATTTTCCTCATTGGTGAAAATACAGCTTTCTCTGTTTATATGAAAACACTTTGAAAATATATAGCATCAGTCAAAAAATGTTTTTCTTGGAGTATAACACTGAAAATTACATGTAAAATTAGTAAAGGACATATAAATGGCATAAAATATCTTAACAATTTGAACATACTGAGTTATATTCTCATCAATGAATGCTGTATGAAATTGAAAATATGATGTGAAATATCTGATTTCATTGCTGTAGAACATATTAAAAAAATTTTTTTTTATTAAATTAGTCTTCATTGGTGTATTCAGTGAGAAAATGTATCAAATCTGTAGTACTGTGTGTTAAGCATAATTAATAAAATATCTGTTCTCATGGGTGGATCTTATGAGAAAATGTTCTATGTATTCTTCTTTGATCGATTCTATGGGGAAATTAATAGAAACTTGAGTACTGTACATGTTGAGCATAATCAAATAATTTTGCAAATTTATATACTTTTATGAATTCTGTGGGGAAATTCATAGAAATTTTAGTGTTATGTATATTGAGCATAACGAATTAATAAAGTAGCTCTGTGTTCTAATTAAATTTAACTAGACATTTTTCTGGATAGAAACTGTAATTATTACTGCCACAGATAAGAAATATCTTTCATGCTTCATTTAATTCATACACTTAAGTTCACATTTGAAAATTTTTTATGTGTGCTAATTTACAACCATTATGAATTATGTCTTATAAGCAGCTAAGCAGTTGTAATTTCAAACATAATAATAAGACAGACATTGAATGCATGTAGATGCGATCGAGGTAATACATGTAGACAAGATATAAAATTTGGAATTTATTCGCTTACTTAATTTATGGTATCAGATCTTTAATAATTATCCTCTAAACCATCTTTAATTTTGTATAACTAAATTAAACTTATTTTCAAATTTTTAATATTGCATTCCTAGCATTTGATTTTCAGGTTATTTAAAAATAGGTGTATTTACTACTTTCAAGTGATTTAATGTTCCTGTTAAAAAAATGATATTGTCTTTAAATTTTGCTCTGAAATAAGTATTTAACACCTGATTATTGTTAAGGCAAAAATATTGTATAATTAATTAATTTAATACGTTTTACAACTTGGAATTAATTTTTTGCCTTTGGAAAATTCTGAATTAATAATCTGCAGTTATTTCTCTCATTTGTCTTCTTGTGTAAAATCTTTTCAGTCATGAATCTTTTCAATCTTAAAAGATTTAATTATATTAAGATCAAAAAATGAATTTTCTTTTAGGTTTAAAGGTAAATGGCATGGAATTCCAATAACCTGTGAGTACCTGTAATCCAATGTTATCAAATCTAACACAAGCCAAAAGAAAACAAAATCGTTGTAATAACATAGTGTTCTGAAAATAATCTATACCTGCACGATCCATTTGCCATAAATTGGTGGTTCCCAACCTTTTTTATTAATGTTTCCCTTTAAGCCTGTCCTGTTCTTGCAAGGTAATGAAGTGTAGGAGTAATATTGCAAGGACAGAAAAAGAGAATGTAAATTAAAGTGTTATCCATCTAAACAGCTATGCATTGAATTACATTCCAAAATGTGTTTTAATTTACCATAATATCTCAATTTAATCTCAGCTATACCACCAATACGGTTCTATGACTAAAGTGCATACAGTAATCCCTCCCTCCCAAAAAAAATGGGATTTAGAGGAAAGCACACATAGATAAAAACCTACATGAATATCTGATTTTTGATGTTCCAGAAGTATGTCTGTTTATATATTTTATCATTATTTTATTTTATTTATTTATTTATTATTATTTTTTTAGGTCGAAAAAGCTTTCTTGGTTAACTATAATGTTTCAATGATAAATCTGGAAATTTTATTTGTTTATTTTGTGTGTGTGAAAAGGAAAAATATTATTAAGTTTAAATTCTAGTTATAATGTGATATGGCTAAGACTAAATTTGTATGTATGTTTCAATATTAGAAAACAAGGGCCATTAAATGTTATTTAATCAAAGATTATTTTGAAGAAGTTAATTTTGTAGTTATGACAAAATGCTTTTCAAGCCTGTTTTATTTCTTGAACCAGCAGCTTCGCTGCCAGCCTTCGTCTGGCCTTTAAATATACCGGAAAAATGGCTGAAGGGAACATTAAACGTTAAATTTAAAAACTGCATAGAATTTTACTCTGCAGAAAAACTTCATAAAAAAAAGTTATTATGTATAACAAAATTACAATGAAATAAGCAATACCCTTAATACAAATATTAATATCCTAATAAATAAATTAACCAACTTCCCTTTGCAAAATCGTAAGAACTCAAATGGTATAAAGGAGGTAAGAACTTGTTTCCTAAAAAAAATCACTCAAAACTTTGCAATATCTTAAAAACAGTGAAATGAGCAATAAATAACATAAAAGTATACAAAAAACAACTTTGGTAGACGTGTAATGTTGCGCGCTTCCAACCTGCACGCAACAATAGTGGTGACTGCTAAGAACTGGAAAGTAGACAAAGTCTTGAGAAGGGTTTAAATCCCTTTTTATTCAACTTCAGAAATTACAAATGCGTGCTCTTGACGCTCACAAACTACACCGACCTGGCGGTAAAATAAGAAACTAAGAAAAGAATAGTAACAAGTGACTAACTACGAGGCTCTCTAAACATAACTAACCTCACCACGTTCTAAAATACCGCTGATAATTCAGCAAACTTCTGAATATTACGTTGAAAGATTAACAATCTGCCGAGGCAAGCACACAGGCCGAAACGCGTGGTTCTTCAATTTCTAACTAGCCACCTCCACGCTCGTGAAGCAAGAAAGCACACTTTCGAACTCGTTTCCCTTCTATTTAACTCAGATTACTTCTGGTGACAATTTGAATCCTTGCGCGTTCTACTAAAATTTACATACTCTGGCATTGGCAATTCCAGGGGGTAAGGCTTGACAGGAAAGATAGTTTAAACTTAAAATAAATGTTAGTTAAAATAAATATAAACCCTACAGACGGTTGCACGGATTTTTTGGTGATTTGCATTGGTGCGGTTTTTATAGTCATCAGCAATCTTGAAAAATGCTGTTTTTACGTATTTTACACATATAGTAAAGTATTAGAAACTTTAAAAAAATAAATATCATTAAAAATAATGGATTAATTTTTTGTTGAAAACGTTGTTTTTTAAGATGGCTGGCAAATGTAAATAAACACATTTACTAAGAATAAAATGCTAAAGTAAGGGTAAATTATTACTTTCATATAATAGAATAAAAACACCGCTATAAAAACATTGCGCCAACATTTAATTGGATTAAAGTATTACTTAAATTGAATATCGAATTAAAAACATCATACCAACATTTAAAAGAATTAAAATATTACTTAAATACTTTAAAATAAGTTTTATAAGATTTAATTATTTAACATTAAAACGTATGTGGCAATAAATATCTCAGGAATTTTTGAAAACATTGTACTAATTTTTTAATAAAAGTTGAAGTATACAATTATAAAGTAAAAGAGAATTATGTACTTACATTTTTTAAAGTATTTTACCTGTCGTATATTTGATAAGTACCACAAAGAAAAAAGATCTAACGATCTTCATCTGTGATCCACATCTCTCGCACTTCATTGAAGAAGCAATTAACGAGGTTTTCTCCAAAAATTTAAAATAAATTTCCTCTGATGCTGTTAACAATTTATAAATAAATCTTTGATTAGGAAAGCCAGGTTGGCCAAAATAAGGTCTCAAAAGGCAATTTTTTTATTCCGATACCAATAATTCTTGGTAATTACCAATAACAACATTCATCTTCGAAATGGACATATCCATTCCATTTGAAATCTGAGGAATTCGAAGAGATGAATAATATAAAATGGCGCGGTAATGCACAAATATTCAGTAACCAATCAGGGAGCTGATTACATCACATATAGAATTAAAATTATTTAAATAATCATTTTTAAAACAAATGCAAAATAAAATTGTATTATAATATTTAACAGCCATAAATAATGTTTAAAACATTAGATTAAATTTATAGATATTAATAAAACCAATTACTTTTTAAGTAAGGTGACATCATTGATTACATCATCCACAACATAAAATTATATAAAATATTATAAACAGCAAAATTTTTATTTCAAATAAAAATGCAAAATTAAATTGATTTTTAATATTTAAAACACGGAATTTATGCATAATAAAACGCATTATTTTTAAAATAAAATGACAACAAAGTATCGGTTACTATAAATAACTTATCCAGCAATGGGTTTACCATAAGTCATACTACTCGCCAAAAGAAAAATCACCAAAATTCGTGCAACTGTCTACGAAAGTAGCACCAAAAATTACAATGAAATAAGCTATATCCCTTAATACAAATATTAATTACCCTAATAAAAAAATTAACCAACTTTCCATTGAAGAAAAAAAAATCATGCAAAACTTTTCAATATCTTATAAACAGTGAAATAAGCAAAAAATAACATGAAAAAAACTCAAAAAACAAAATTCTGTGCACAATTTTACTCTGCAGAACAACTTTATCAAAAACAACAATAAAAATGTATTATATATATAAAAAAATCACAATGAAATATGCCAATCTCTTAAAAACAGTGACATAGGAAATACGATGAAAAATTGTTGCCAAACCCATATTTCTAAAAGAAAGAAACTATTCAAAATGATGCAAAATCATTACGTTAATTAAGTAAATATCAATTTATAAACTGCTTTATTTACTCATAGCTTTGAATCCTTAACTAGTATGATGCATTTTTCAAAGAAAAATGTTACATTGTCGCTTCGAGGAAAACCATTGTTTGTGGTTTTCCTCGAATGTAAATGTATTTATTTACATTTGCCAGCCATCTTAAAAAATGTTTTCAACAAAAAATTAATCCATTATTTTTAACGACATTTATTTTTTTAAAGTTTCTAATACCTTACTATATGCGTAAAATACGTAAAAACAGCATTTTTCAAGATGGCTGATGATTATAAAAACTGCACCAATGCAAATCGCCAAAAATCCATGCAACCGTCTACCAAAGTTGTTTTTTGTATTCTTTTATGTTATTTATTGCTCATTTCAAAGAGTTGAACCATTACAAATCAAAGAGTTGGTCTACGTTACGTTAGACCAACTCTTTGATTTCATCAAAAATCTATCAACAACAATAAGAAAGGAAAATTGTTGCCAAAATCACATTTTTATAGATGTGAGAAGTTAACTCAGAAGCTTCATTTAATTTTTTTTTTTTTTAAATACAAAATATTATCATTTTCCCAAAATTCTTTTTGTAAAAGCAGTCGCAAGGATAAAAGTTTAACGTGTCCGAAAATCAAAGAAAATAAACTTTTTTAGAAAAAATGCCGTTGAAAAGGTGTTAAGCTCACTTTGTTAAATAAATTTGTATTTAATCGATTTATTGAAAAACGAAATTTATTTTAAGTTCGCAAAATAGCCAAGTGCCTACGTTTCATGACGATGTGAAAATGGAGCATGTAGAGTAAAATCTCGCTTTCCTATAGCCCATTATGTCTCAAAATGACGCGATTT